TTGGGTCGGACACGGTAGTTCGGACTTTACATAAGCTAATTAGAAAGTATAGACCCTCTATGATCTTTCTATCTGAAACTAAGATGAAGGATCATAGAATTGATTATGTTAGGAGACGTATGGGATTCTCGAGAGGGTTTAATGTAACTCCAATCGGGAAGGCTGGTGGGCTAAGTCTCTGGTGGGATGATTTGGTGGAAGTTGACGTCACGTTTTCCTCAAAAAATATTATTGAGGTGCAGATGCGCGAGGTGGGTGAGCAACTGTGGGTACGGGTTTTTGGGCATACGAGACTTCTTACCATGGGGAAAAGGTGTTGAACACCCATTTCACCCCCTCGAGTATCCTTTGGCTATATGGAGGCGACTTCAATTAGTTCATTTTGGATTTTGAGAAATCAAGAGGGGTTGAGTTCTGCATAATTGGCCTAGATATTTAGCGGACTTCGTGAACTCTACAGAGTTGATGGACTTGGGTTTTGATGGTCTATCTTTTACGTGGAGAGATACCATAAATGGAGATCTGGTGGAAGAGCGAATTAATAAGGGGCTTATCAATAGGCTCTGGTAGGACATTTGGCAGAATATTGTTGTCACCCATGGGACAGTAATGGGGTCGGATCACTGCACAGTCATTATTCAAACTGAACAAGGTACAAGAAATGGAAGTAAACTTTTCCGTTTCAAAGTGTTTTGGTCTAAGGCGGAAGAATGCAAAGACTTGGTGAGAAAGTGTTGAGAGAAGCAGTGCGATGAGGATGTCATTGTAGACATCAAAATTTCGATGAAATGAATGTTGACCAATAATTAAAATTTCAACTCTCACGTGTCACATAAATTTTACATGTAACGTGTGACTCAACGAAAAATCGAAATAAATTGGAAAAGTCATCAAATAGGACACGTGTCAATACCTGGCAGAAATGATTTATTTCATCTGATTATTTAAATCCAAAAATCAAGTTTTGGAATTCTATAAATAGGAAGCCAAGGCATTCATTTTCAAGAAGAAGAAAGGAAGAGAAATTTACATTACACCAAAACCTTGAAGCCTTGAAACTCTAAAGCTCTCAAGCAAATCCCGAAGGATCAAGAAAGCACTTTTCGTTCTTCGTCAAATCCTCCTTCAAGATCAAGCCCTAACAGCCCTTGAAGAACTCCCACTAACTCAAGATCAAGCCCCGACGGCCCCTTGAAGAAAGTGTTCATCATTCATCATCCGTTCATCCTAAGATCAAGCCCCAACGGCCTTTTGGATCAACAACCTCAACAAACTCATACACCCATTCTTCAAGATCAAGCCCAACGCCCCTTGAAGATCCATTCATCAACTGTTCATCCTTAGATCAAGCCCCGACGGCCCTTTGGATCAACAACTCATCCACAAACCTACACCCTACGAAGATAGAATCAGAGGATCAAATTACAAAGAGATTGTAACCCCAAAATCATTAATACAAAAATATATTTTGTACACGTATTCTTGTTTCTTGTTTCAGGAATTTTTCGTGTTTACAAATTTGGCACGCCCGGTGGGATAATCTCTACCTCTCATCTCTATCCTCAAATCATCGAAAAACGCAAATGGCATCAAGAAAGGATCAAGCTGTTCCTGCAATCAAAGCAAAGAACAAGAACATCATCGCCGCAAGTGGTGATATTTCGGGCATCATAACCCGAAGTAAGGCAAGAGATCTTTTTGCCGCGGCTTCTGCCCCTGCATTAACTCTGTCAAAGGAACAAGAGCACCTGAGGTACGAGCCTGTGATCACCTTAGCCTCGCTAAGGGCATCAAGGGGGGAAAGCCCGAGGAAATACTCAGAGTCCCTACTCTCCGACGCTGATTCGAGCGGCAGTACAACCATGCAAGTCATGACCACTGGAGCAACTTCAATCGAGGAGCAGCTAGCTCAGATGAATGAAGCAATCGCAAAGCTCACACGGACTGTGGAAGAGAAGGACTTGCAGATTGCCGCACTTGTCAACCAACTAGATGCGTTGTCCGACGTGAAAGTCGACCCAAATGTTGGCCTATTAGAGAAAGAAGTCGACGAAGAAGAGGAGCCACCAGTGGAGAAAGTTGAAGAGAAGCCGAAGCTAGACCAAGCAACGGCATTCATGGGATTTCTCTCTATCCAGCAGCTACAGAAGATGATCGCAAGCACTATCAAGGCACAGTACGAAGGAAGCTCGCATGACTCCGTACTGTACTCAAAGCCTTACTCCAAGAAGATTGATGCTTTGAAGATGCCAAGGGGTTATCAGCCCCCAAAATTCATGCAGTTCGATGGAAAAGGCAACCCGAAGCAACATGTCGCCCATTTCATTGAAACTTGCAACAATGCTGGAACAGAGGGAGACTACCTCGTCAAACAGTTCGTGCGTTCGCTGAAAAGTAACGCTTTTGACTGGTACACTGACCTCGAACCTGAGTCTATCAACAGTTGGGACCAGCTAGAAAGGGAATTCCTCAACTGTTTCTACAGCACTCGTCGTACTGTAAGCATGCTAGAGCTGACCAGTACGAAACAGTGGAAAGATGAACCTGTCGTCGACTACATAAATAGATGGCGTTCTTTAAGTCTGGATTGCAAAGATCGGCTTTCTGAAACCTCTGCCATTGAGATGTGCGTTCAAGGCATGCAGTGGGGACTACAGTACATCCTTCAAGGCATCAAACCACGAACATTTGAGGAGTTAGCCACCCGCGCCCATGATATGGAGTTAAGCATCACCCGTCATGGGAAGAAAGAACAGATCGCCGACTACAAGAATGACAAAGTTTTGGGGCCAAAGGTGGATAAGGCTACGTGGAAACCCACCAAGGAAGCAATGACGGTCAACACAACTCCAGTCAAAATCCATACACGAAGCAAGGCGATTCAAACCGAAGCTTTTCGTGGTCAAGAGATACGTAGACGCACTTTGAAAGAGCTTGAGGAGAAGACTTATCCATTCCCCGACTCTGACGTGGTTGCCATGTTGAAAGACTTGCTTGACAAAAAGGTGATCGACCTACCTGAGTGCAAACGGCCAGAAGATATGAACCGTACTGACAGTCCAAGGTACTGTAAATTCCACCGCTTCATTAGTCATCCGACGGAAAAGTGCTTTGTGCTAAAAGATCTCATCATGAAGTTGGCTCAGAAAGGGATCATCGAGCTAAATCTTAATGATGTGGTGAAGTCAAACTATACCACCGTCACTTCTGGCTCTTTGAACTCAAAATCTTCACCTCAACCGCTGGGGGCATGCTCCAAAACCATGTCAGTCAAGTCAAGTGAAGTTGAAGGATGGACTTATGTCACTCCAAAGAAAATGCACAAGAAACATAGGTCTTCTCCACAAGTTCACTAATCGGAAATGGGGCAAAGCAGCTACCGTTAACCTTCAAAGCTACATGAAAGTGTTGAGGATGATGAAGTTATGACACAAAGATCGTCCATTGCCATCACGATGCGCGATTTCTTCCCCAAAGACTTCTTCAATCACTCAGTCAAGACTCCTTGCTATAAAGATTGCAAGGAATGCCTCTCTAAGATCGTTTGACAAATTCAAAACGCTCCTCGCTTGCACGAGCCTAAAAGGCGACAACAAACGCTCCTTGCCTGCACGAGCTGAAACTGCAAACGGCACCAAACGCTCCTCGCTTGCACGAGCTGAAACTGCAAACGGCACCAAACGCTCCTTGCCTGCACGAGCTGAAACTGCAAACGGCACCAAACGCTCCTGGCCCGCAAGAGCATAAACTGTGTATGACAAAATCATCATCAAAACCATCACTCATTTGAACTACGTTATGACTTGATCTCTTCTTTGGAAGAGTACGTAGGCAACTAGAAACTTCAAAACTTCAAGTACAGTCACATCAAAATAAATAAATAAATGTTTCATTAAAGAAAGTCAATTTTATTACAAAAGAAAAGAAAAAAAAATACATATGTTACTATGTATTAGAAAAAAAATATATATATATTCTCTACTCAAAAAAAAAAAAAAAAAAAAAAAAATTATACATGTTAAAGTGGGTTTGCCTACACTTAAGACCCATGCCAACTCAAAGAAACAAAAGTTGAAGTCCACAAAAAGGAGCAGCCCAAATTCAGGCCCAGTGCCATCATCATCCCCAGCTCGCTCGAGCAGCCGGATTCCACTAGCCCAAATCCAGGCCCAGCTCTCTCTCTCTCTAATTTGTGGTCGAGTCATTCACCGAGTCACAGAGCTATTCCGCCATGAAAGAAGACCAAGACCAATACCGAGAAGCCGCTACCGGCGAAAAGCGAAAGCTGGAAGACAGCAGCATCAGCATCCTACTGGCCAAGCAGAAAGCTCAGGAAATCGCCGCCCGACTTGTTCGCGATGCCAAGTCAAAGCGTCCTCGAGTGGAGGTGGAAACATGCACCACCAATTCACATCGACCCCACAAACCTAGTCCTTGAGCTTGCTCATTCCTCTTCTCCACAATTGGAGACGTTTGCCGTCTTCTCCGTCTTTGCCGCTGTCAACTCCTCCCGCGGAGTGTTCCTTCTTCATCTCCACCGATGGAGACATTTGCAGCACTACAAGAAAAAAAAAACACAACAGAGATCTCACCAAAACGCAGCAGCAAATCTCCTTCCCACAGCTTCCTGTAGCCTCTTGGGTGTCTAAAGAAGTTTTCGACATCTCTCTTTCTCTTTTCAGAGATGCAATGGAGAAGAAGCCATCACTCTGCACGTTTGAACAAGTAGGGAAGAGGAACCCAACATACCTAGCTCACGTTTGAACAAGTAGGGAAGAGGAACCCAACATACCTAGCTATGGTCCCAAACTTCTGTCGGTCGACGGGCCATGGTCGTCTTCAAAAGCTTTTTGGTGTTCTTCATTGAGACAGAAACCCGAAGAAAGCCCAGCCAAAGAAGAATGGGCGCTAGTGGTTGCTGACAAAGTTTCATTCGAATTCCAGTTTAAATTAAGAATTGGAAAAAAAAAAAAAAAGCTCCAACAAACAAAGATGATTCGTGATGTTAGTCGAAGACCCTTCTGCCGCATCTCAGCCTGCAGCATATGGACAAGGATTTCTGATCCACTAGCGACAAATCCACCAAACCCCGAGCCGTCTCCGTCTTTGTTGAGCTCTTCGTCCATGCTCTCCATTCTGCCCATCTACCCCAGTAAGATCTTCATGCTACTGTATGGGCAGTTTGTCTCTCTCTAAGGTTGAGCAGCGCGGCCTTCTCCCTTCGATCATTGACCTCCTCACGGTTGTGCTCCATCTTCAAGCTCTCCGAACTCCGCTGCTTCAGCTCTCCAAACTCCATAGCCACAGCAACAACATCTACTAACTACCTCAAGCTCCTCACTCCGGCCACCGTGGTCAAAATCGGCAAAGAACTTCAGTGACCGCTGTCAAACGACTAGCCGATCGTGAAGCTCGACGCTTTGCACTACTTCAAGCTCTGGCTGCTTCTGCACTTCCGCCATGGTCGCTACCTGTGAATGTGATTAACAAAACCAAAGTTTGTCAACTCACATCTGCTTGCCTCTGCTGCTGCGTTTGAATGTGATTGACAAAACCAAAGTTTGTCAACTCACACCCAAAGACTTTCTCCGTCTCTTACCTCCTACTACTCCAAGCTCCTCTGCATTTCCTCCCTGCACCATGTGGGGAATATATATATAAAAAAAATTATTATTAAAAGAAAAAAAAAAAGGGACACGCCAGTCTGGAAAGAAGAAGAAATGGTGGAATCTTGGTGGATCAACGCCACCGAAAGCAAAGAAAAGAAAAATAAAATAATAATAATAAAATAAAATAAAAGGGAATGATGGTGGAGAGGTAGCAATGATGATGTTGAAAAAAAAAATAATAAAATAAAATAAAAGGGAATGATGATGGACAGCATCAAGTGAAAAAAAAAAAAAAAAAAACACATCTTGGTGATGTATATGTTTTATCTGTATTTAGCACAATACACTGAATAAAATAAAGCATGTCCATTAATCTCCGAGAAATTACAAGTGCGTACAAAAAAAAAAAAAAAAAAAGGAAAAAAAAAAAAAAAGATGGAGCTTTCACAAAGGTTGTTCACGTGAAGCCCCACTACTTGGCAAAACTCCAGGAGCGGGAGGCATCGAAGATAGATCATTCGAGGCCTCAATACTTGGTGGAACGCTAGATGACGCAGGAAAAAGGTGCCTCTGGAAGAAAGCCGCAAGCCTGTGACAGTCACTTTGAATTCGACCTTCAGATTCTTGCAGCTCATCAAGCTTCCTCTTCATGCTCGTCGAATAATTATTTGCAAGCACGTGCAAACCTCTATTCTCGCGCTTAAGCTGTTGGATCTCTTGTTTAAGATTTTCCACCTCCGCCATCAATGATTCAACTTGACGGGATCGAGCAAGTAGGCGTTGGCCCATGTTGGACACGGAGCCCGCACACTGAACACTGAGAGCTAGGGACTCTTGAACGGCCAACTCATCGGACCGTCCTGAAAGCAGCCTACTATATCTAGGAGTGAGGAGGTTCCTAGCTACTATTGTAGCTGTTGTTGCATCCTTCATCACGGAGTCTTCACCTGTAAGAGGGCCACTAGAAGATAAGAAAGACGGGCGCCATACATTACCTTGACATGGCGCGCCCGTATCACTGCTGAGACGCAAATCTAAGCAAATGTTAGATGGGTTAGCCATTTTCAAAGGTGTTAAAAGAGAAGGGTTGGATGGAGTAAAATCTCAAAGGGCCGTTAAAACAAAATACACCGGAGACAATTTTCACGAATGGGCAATCTTCAAAGTGTGCATGTTGGAGGTAATCGATACCTCTATAAAAAGGAGAGGCGACACGACCACCGATTCAAAAAATTGAAGAGACACCACTCTTTAAATCTTAAAAGCCGGATTTTCCTGCGTAAAGTTCGGCAATGCTCTTCAGACACAATCTCGGTTTTTCAGATAACACGTGCAACTTTGTCAAAGATCTCTGACAAAGTTGAAAACGCGTGGAGGTCATTATCCCAACTACCACACAATTTTTGCCTCTATAAAAAAAGGAGGAACAGGGTTGTTCATTCAGAAATCGAAGAGGCGCTTGCTCAGAAATCAAAGAGGCGTTTGTTCAGAAATCGAAGAGACGCTTGCTCAAAAATCGAAGAAGCGTTTGTTCAGAAATCGAAGAGACGCTTGCTCAAAAATCGAAGAAGCGTTTGTTCAGAAATCAAAGAGGTAACACCCTCCGAACCTCAAAAGCTGGGCTGCTTATTCAAGGATCAAAGAGTCATCACTCTTTGAATTTCAAAAAAAAAAAACCAGATTTGCTGGATCAAAACTTGTCAGTACCTTTCACATGTAACCTCAACTTTGCAGACATTACAAGCAACTTTGCCAAAGATTTCTGACAAAGTTGAGAACGAGTGAATCTTACTGTTTCAATTACCCAACAGTTGTCGACAATGGTAAAGGAACAGTGCCACCACTTGCTATTGGGAAATCCCTATATATGTTGACCTTCATCTTTTATGGCAAGGCAGACCTGCAAAAAAATGCCCAACTCTTCCTCACCTCTGAGGGCGCACTCCCAGCAAAGCCTCTCGAAATACTTAATTTTCTTCTTCCCCAAAGAAGATACCAGATGTCTGGAGTACAGATGAGGCAGGAGGAAACGGTAGATCGAAGCATGTGGAGACAAGCACAACAAATATATGTGCTGATTCATTCGCTGCTTCTTCAAAAGCAAAAGTATCTCATATCATCAAGGGCGAAAGCAAAGGTATCTCATATCATGCTTTTTCCCTGTCTTTTCCTTTGCCCTTGTTCTCACCTGCCAAGACAAGGACAGAGAAAGCAATATGTCGGAACCTCCACTCAAACTTGCCCTGCCACCAAGAAGTGATGGTCCATTCAAATGCAAGGTTTGCATTCCACTCATGTATCAGAGGACAAATACTACAAGAGAAGATGCCAAACCTGCATAAGGAAATACCACTTCTGCAAAGGGAGCAAGTAAGGCAAGTGAAAATGATACATCGAAGCATGTGGAGACAAGCACAACAAATATATGTGCTGATTCATTCACTGCTTCTTCAAAAGCAAAAGTATCTCATATCATCAAGGGCGAAAGCAAAGGTATCTTCTATCATGCTTTTTCCCTGTCTTTTCCTTTGCCCTTGTTCTCACCTGCCAAGACAAGGACAGAGAAAGCAATATGTCGGAACCTCCACTCAAACTTGCGCTGCCACCAAGAAGTGATGGTCCATTCAAATGCAAGGTTTGCATTCCACTCATGTATCAGAGGACAAATACTACAAGAGAAGATGCCAAACCTGCATAAGGAAATACCACTTCTGCAAATGGAGCAAGTAAGGCAAGTGAAAATGATACATCGAAGCATGTGGAGACAAGCACAACAAATATATGTGCTGATTCATTCACTGCTTCTTCAAAAGCAAAGGTATCTCATATCATGCTTTCTCCATGTCCTTTCCTTTGTCCTTGTTCTTACTCGCATAGCAAAGTGAAAGAGAGCAATCAGCCGGCACTTGGAGTCAGTCTTCCGATCTGGAACCGACTACCTGGAATCTATTCCCTGGTTGCTTACCTAGCGTTGCTCTCGAGTAGTCATCTTCAACGGTTGATACACTTCCAGAGAATGGACCACATCTGCTTGGAGAACAGCTAAGACAAGGGACAATGAAACATCAATCTTGTGGATCGTCAGCAAACGCAACAACTGCATATGCTGAGTCATCCTCTAACCCTCTTCAAATATGAATTGGAAAGATTAAACAAAGAAACAGGTCATCACCTCCACCTCGTGCTTGCCTGCCATGTGTCTGAATCCTGAAACCACTCATGGTCTTATTTCCAATTCAAGATCAAGCCTCGATGGCCCTTGAAGAAATCACAAGTCCGATTCAAAATCAAGTGTTCACCACCCTAGAATCAAATTCAACTCCAGATAAAAGGAGTAAGTTCAGACCTTCGGAGGAGACCAAAAGAATCCTCCAGCCCAGTTCAAGATTAAGCCTGTGGAAAATCAACGATTGGAGGAAACCAGAAAATCTTCCAGTCGAACTTAAGATCAAGCCTCGATGGCCCTTGAAGAAATTTCCAGCCCAATTCAAGATCAAGCCTCGACAGCCCTTGGGTTGACATCTACATTAAGGGACTTCAAAACGCATCTTCTACACATGACAAGCACATGTCTACGACGCGCCTTGAAGTGGGGGCATTTGTAGACATCAAAATTTCGGTGAAATGAATGTTGACCAATAATTAAAATTTCAACTCTCACGTGTCACATAAATTTTACATGTAGCGTGTGACTCAACGAAAAATCGAAATAAATTGGAAAAGTCATCAAATAGGACACGTGTCAATACCTGGCAGAAATGATTTATTTCATTTGAAAGACACCTTAGGCTTACCAAAGCAAAATTGGGTGTTGAAAGACACCTTAGGCTTACCAAAGCAAAATTGGGGCATAGATTTCAGGAACTTTCAAGCTTTTAACAATGCACTTCTTGCCAAGCAGTGTTGGAGGCTAATTCATGACTCAAATTCACTCTGGGCTAGGGTCTTCAAGGCTAGGTACTTCCCGCATTGTTCATTCTTTGATGCTCAACATGAGAGTCGGGCTTCATGGGCTTGGACAAGTTTACTTGTGGGAAGAGATTTGCTGCTACAAGGGATACATTGATAGATTATGGGTGGGCGAGATGCTCGTGTATGGGTGGGCAAGATGTTTCCCATCCGTCCCTACGGGATATCCCACGCCAAGCAATAAGGTAATGGTGACCATGAACACTCGGGTGAACTCTCTTATCTGCTAACCTACTTGAAATTGGGATATTTTAATTTCCTTCGACCATTTTTATTTGCAGAATAGCAAAATGCGATCTTAGAAACACATCTTAGGGATCCTCTAATAAGTGATCATCTAATTTGGCTAGCTAACAAAAATGGAGGGTACTTGATGATGTGGGGGTATCACTGGGTGCACTCAAGGTCTCTCTCTTATGGGTCAGCGTCATTCCACTCCTCGATCAGTCCTGAAGCAGGTGCACAAGGTTATTTAGAAGCTAAACCCTGCCAAAAGATTCGCAACTTCATGTGGAAAACATTGCATAGAGTGATGATGACGATGGTTGATTTGTTTAAGAGGAGATCCTCCCCCTCCTCGACTTGCCCAATCTGCCATAATCAAGACAAATTTGTGGAACATCTCTTCCTTTCAAGTCCTTAGGTGGAGACAATTGGTTTGGTAGAATGTTAGACAACAAGATTGATAGAAATGGTATCTCGACATTGGCGCTTCGGCTTGCATTCCATCACCAACTCTAACTTTAGGTCTATTGAGGAAAGAAGGTGGTTGTTATCGAACGGACTTTCACTTGCTGGCATATTTGGAAAACAAGATGTAACTCCTTGTTCAACCAAAAAGTTATTAACTCAACACAAGTTTTTTCAGCCATATCCAATTTGGCGGGTGCATTTTTAAAAATGTCTAAAATACCACAGGATCCATTGACACCGGTCTTGGGTGAGGGTGATCAAGTGGTCAGTTGGTCTCCTCCAAGAATGAGCCACGATTTGGGCCGAGGTAGTGGCATGGTATGGGCCACGATTTGGGCTGCCACGTCTTGGCTGCTTGCCAAGAATGAGGAAACTACTTGAGTTTGATTTCTCAGTTGCCGTAGATGGAGCAATCAAGGACATAGCTGCCAAGATGAGAGCTACTGAAGATGAAGTGTTAAATGAGCGAACTGTTGAGTGCAAAGTGGTTCCTGCCCCTTGACCATTTGCTGCTTAGATGGTCTTCGAGTATTCGATCTTTTGAGATGT